CGCCCCCTGTTTCCGGCTGCCCCGCTTCCGGCCCTCATTCAGCCAGGAGGAGGCAGGAGAAGAGGGAGGGTAAGTTGCTTCCTCCCTGCCTCTCCCCACCCCTGCCTGCCTGGGGCCAGGGAGGGCCTTCGCGGGGCTTCCTTGCACTCCCACCGGCCTTGAAGGTCCACCGCCGGGCCCCTCATGGGGCTCGGCAGTGGAGCTGCAAGGCCGGCGGCGGCGGCGGCCGGGACCGTTGGGGGCGGGGTGTGTGGCCTTATGACACACTTCCGGTGATGTCAGGGGGTGTGGCCTCATGACACACTTCCGGTGATTTCAGGGGGTGTGGCATATGCTAATGAGTTATGCTAATGAGTTCCCCTCTTTTTCTACGAAACGACCCCTGCCTCCGACACCACAGAGCAAGACTAGATTGCCATTGAGTTGTCTGCTCTGATGTCAGAGAGAGGCTTACCAGCTAGGCGGGGCTTAGTATCGCTGGAGCCTTCTGAACCGCAACCGTGAGGCTTTTAAGCCAGTGGAAACCTTATGCTGGTAGGTTGTGACCTCTTGAGTGACTTTTTCTCTCTCCTCTCCCTTGCTCAGCGTCTCCTTACCACATCACCGAGACATCATCCGTAACTGTGCCGTCAGTGTGGACCAGATCCAGGATCTCCACTCCCCAATGTCTCCCATTTCTGAGACCCCTGCAACGCCAGCCTACAGCACTGGTAGGGAGGATTCAACCCGCAGAGTCTAGCTGCTGGTCTCTGCGACAAGGGGGTGGGGCGATAGTGAAGACATATCAGCAGAGGTCATTTCGGAGGGGGATTGTGGGGAATTGCAGTTCCCCCGGGTGAGGTACAGCGGGTGGGGCACATGACGAAGCCCCGCCCCCTGCTTCCGGCCGCCCCGCTTCCGGCCCTCATTCAGCCAGGAGGAGGCAGGAGAAGAGGGAGGGTAAGTTGCTTCCTCCCTGCCTCTCCCCACCCCTGCCTGCCTGGGGCCAGGGAGGGCCTTCGCGGGGCTTCCTTGCACTCCCGCCGGCCTTGCAGGTCCACCGCCGGGCCCCTTATGGGGCTCAGCAGTGGAGCTGCAAGGCCGGCGCCGGCGGCCGGGACCGTTGGGGGCAGGGTGTGTGGCCTTATGACACACTTCCGGTGATGTCAGGGGGTGTGGCATATGCTAATGAGTTATGCTAATGAGTTCCCCTAGCTCTTTTTCTACGAAATGACCCCTGCATATCAGAGAAAGGGAACAGACAATGGCACAGGAAACCCTCCCTTCCATGGGCTCGTTTTGTTTTTGACATGGAGGGTGTGAGGGCATTCATACACTCAATTGTCCTAGGCAGGGCTTTTTAAAAAAAAAGAAAAAAAAAGAGGTGCCGGAGCTCTCAAGAGGGAAATGAGGTTTTCAGTCTGTATACTGAAAACTCATGAACTTCTAAACATTTTTAAAAGGATTTTGTCAAAGAGGTTCCAGAACTCTGTTCCAGTGCATCCCCCCCCAGGAAAAAAAAAACACCTGGCCTGTGTGTATTCTGAGATGTGACCAGTCGCTTGAGGACTTTATTGTGTACCCTTCATGAATGTGGGGATTTATTCCTACACTAGGTTCAGAAATTGAGAGACTTGACAAAAATATGTCCCCCCCTATTAAAAAAAACCAAGCTTCCTGCTATTTCACAGCAATGTCTGTGTCAAACATTCTGAAATCTGTGGCTTCAGCTACCAAAGTCAAGAGGGGCTTAAGCACGTTCTTGTTTTGTTCGTCCCAGAGAACAAGAGATTGAGTTGTTTACTGAGCACTTGATTAACTTATGAAGAAGAGATTGGATTTATACCCCGCCCTTCACTACCCAAAGGGGTCTCAGAGCGGCTTACAAACTCCTTTCCCTTCCCCTCCCCACAACAGACACCCTGTAAGGTCGGTGGGGCTGAGAGAGCTCTGACAGAAACTGCTCTTTTTCAAGACCAGTTCCACCAGAACTATGGCTTGCCCAAGGTCATCCAGCCAAGTGCAAGTGGAGGAGTGGGGAATCAAACTCGGTTCTCCCAGATTAGAGTCCACGCACTTAACCACAACACCAAACTGGCTTATGGAACTCACTGCCCCAAGATGTCGTCGTGGCCACGGGCTTAGATGGCTTTGAATAAGAATTATGGAAATCCATGGAGGGGCAGGTCTATCAATGGACAGTAGCCACAACAACTAAATGGATCCTCCCCATGTTTAGAGGCGGTAGACCTCTGAGCACCGGCAGAGAAGCTGGGGAGGGCCCTGCTTGTGAGCTTTTCGGAAGCATCTGTCTGGTCCCTGTTGGAAACAGGCTGGGCTAGATGGACTCTGGGTCTCATCCAGCCGCCCCTTCTTAGGATTTTGTATTGTTTCAGGGGTTAAAAACAAGGGAAAGGCACCATAGGGGTTGCGGGGGGGGGGAGTGTTACCGACTGAGATTCTTTTGGTGGTATGACTAAGTTGGTTTTCCCATTACTACACCCAACTCTTCCTTGGCCAGCTTAAAAGCTGGTTTTTAACATTTGTGATTCCAGAGCTAAACTTTAGAATGTATCTCAGTGCCTGGTAAAAATCATGGAATCTGGACAGGATTTCTTACGATCAGAGCGAAAGTGCCCAAATACGCGACATGACTCCACGTCTCACCTCAGGGATGGCAAAATTTCCCAAGACCTTGGTCCCTTCAAACCTGCTGATTCCTGAACTTCCAGACCAAACCCTCTTTCCATAGTCCTCAAGAAATTCCAATCTCTTCAAAAACTCAGAATGAGTCAGAAAGAGAAGCTTCACCCATGAAATTCACCGATTTGGGGGCCAGTTGTGCGCTCTCTCTCTCTCAGTCTGACACACCTTGCAGAGTTGTTGGGAGTGTAACGGTGGGCAGGAAACAATGTACATCATCCCGAGCTCCTTAGAAGGAGCGCGGGGTGGGTGGGGAGTAAATGCAACGTAATACAACAAAGAGTGAAAAATAAGCCTAAACCAACTAAAAACCCCTTTGACTGATTAAAAGTGTACTTTCTGTTTTCTGCCAGTAACGTGTTTAAAAAATGGCCAGTGCCACCTTAGGAGTGGCCTTTCCCAGGAGTCATGTCCTGCAGGAGCACACAGGAGCAGAGCTCCAGTAGTAAAGAGCCCAGGGGGCGGGCACATGCAACAAGCCCCACCCCCTGCTCCCAGCAGTCCTCAGTCAGAGCAAGAAGCTGCCAGGTAAGCTGCAGAGCCCCCCCCCCCCCCGCCCGCCCCCAACAGTCCAGTGGCACCTTTAAGACCAGGTTTTATTCAGGTACAAGCTCTCCCTCCTCTGTGAGGACAGATCTGCACGTTCCCCCCCCCCCAGTAGCTAGCAATCCAAAACAGTCCAGTGGAGCCTGAGCGGTGGGTGTTGCCTTCTGACACACTTCCGGTGATGTCAGGGTGTGTGTGGCATATGCAAATATTATGCTAATGAGTTATGCTAATGAGCTCCTGCACCTCTTTTTCTACAAAATGACCCCTGGCCTTTCCCCTTTGCCCTCCCCTGGGAGGGAATGCCGCCTGCAAGATGACACGGCCTAAAAAGCAGTAAAAACCCCAAACGTGCAATTTCCCCTTTACAACTATTGTCTGATTCACAGAGGCTGTTAAGTAGATTTGTAACCCGTTTACAAACTTGCACAATTAATCTACTAAGATTCCTTTAATTGAATTACAGCTCTAAAAGTATTTCTCTAATAACATTCTGGAAAAGAAAAAAAAGGGGGGGGGGAAGCACTCCAGCCCTGGCTTGGCGCACAAGTTCCCAGCGTGTGACCGAGTTGCACGCATGGGGGTGAGCATGCACAGAGCTCCCAGCCCTGGGGTTCACTCACATCACTCCACGCGCCTGCAATGTGTCCAGCCTCCGATTGCAAGATCTTTCTTTCTCTTGGCAGTGACACGGCTAAAGCCACAAGGCGGGCAAACCGGTGGCAGCCTCGCCCCCGGGTCCCCCGTCATCAGGAGATCCAGCGAGCCGCAGCTGTGCCAAGGGAGCAACGGCAAGGCCGAGCAGCCCGACAGCACCCACTCCACCCCTTCCCACGGATACTCCCGGGCGTCCCCTTCGCCTTCCGTGAACAGCTACAGCGATCCAGACACGGGACACTATTGCCAGCTCCACCCCCCTTCCCCGATCGGCTGGGAACGGGCCCCTCAGGACGGCAAGCAGGCTCCAGCCAAGAGCTACGTGGACCGGCTAAAGGGGGACGAGGTCCAGAAGGCGGGGCTGACGCTGAACGGCTCCGAGGCAGAGGCCGGGCCCAGGAAGAAGCCCGGGCAGGATGCGCCGGGCTTCAGGGTCCCCGTGGTGGAGAGGATCTCCTCTTTCAACCCAGCCGTGTTCCGCTCCCTCCTCATCCCACTGGAAAACAAGCCCTTGGAAATGGCCGTGCTGAAGAAAGTCAAGGAGCTCCTGGCAGAGGTGGATGCGAAGACGCTCGCCCGGCACATCACCAAAGTGGACTGCGCGGTACGTATTTATTTTGTTATTTTATTTTATGTCACTTATACCCCGCCCTCCCCGCAAGCGGGCTCAGGGCAGCTTACATAGGCACAGGGCTATTTTTGGGCAGGAACGCACAGGAACGGAGTTCCGGCTGGCTTCCAAGTTGGCCACGCCCAGCAGGAACTCATTAGCATAATAGGCCACACCCAACAGCAGAAACTCATTCAGATTGGCTACATTAGGGGTGTGTGGCCTAACATGCAAAGGAGTTCCTGCTACAAAAAAGCCCTGGGTTTTGACAACAAATAAGGTCAACAGAATAAGAAGCAAAAGGTGGGTGTGGCTGGATGGCCACACTTCTGGTAACATGGGGGTGTGGCCTAATATGTCAATGAGCTGTGCTGTCGGGTGTGGCCAGATATACAAATGAGTTTCTGCTGTTGGATGTGGCCTATTATGCTAATGAGTTCCTGCTGGGCTTTTTCTACAAAAAAAGCCCTGGGCACAATTGTGCAATAAAATACAACAGGATTAAAACAGTTAAGGCACCAAGTGCAATAAAAATAGGAGAACTTAAAACAATTAAAACAAAAACTCGCATCTTTCAGGATACATTAGGAACTAAAATACTCACTCCCTATTGTATATCGCGGTGGGATCAAAGAGGGGGGATGCCATGGGCCAAGATGTTCCAGGTGGCCAGTCCGCCCAACCCGGAGGTCCTGGTGGTGACGGCGGCTCCTACTCAAAAGCCTGGCGGAAGAGCTCCGTCTTGCAGGCCCTGCGGAACTGTAAGAGGTCCCGCAGGGCCCTGGTCTCCTCTGGGAGCTCATTCCACCAGGTAGGAGCCGCCACCGAGAAGGACCTGGCCCTTGTGGCAGCAAGCCTGGCCTCTTTAGGACCTGGGGTCACTAGGCGGTGTTGTGACCCTGACCGAAGTGCTCTTTGGGGCCTGTATGGGGAAAGGAGGTCCCTCGGGTATGCCGGACCCTGGCCATACGTAGGGTCACCCCACCCTCCAGGTGGCACCTGGAGATCCCCTGCTGTGACGATGGGTCTCCAGGTAGTACAGATCAGTTTCCCTGGAGGAAAATGGCTGCTTTGGAAGGTAGGCTCTCTGGCATTGTCCCCCGCTGGGGTCCCTCCCTTCCCCAAACCCCGCTGTCGTACGCACAGTTTACGAAACGCTTCATACTCTGCCACTTGACGGACAGGTTTGACTTTCGGCACTTCCATGGCGCAGATGTTAAGTGCCATTTATGATTCTAACATCATGAATGTATTCAGGCATTAACTTTGGTTCATTTGTGACTGTTGTTTGGATGCATGCTGGGAGAGTAAAATGCTGAAAGAACAAAACGTTAAAACTTGCTGTTTTTGCTGAGGCTTATGGCCTTGGTGCGGTGGCTCAAGTGGTTAAGATGCTGAACTGCAGGCTGTGGAAGGTCGGTAGTTCAGCAGTTCGAGACCCGAGTGTGCCGCATGACGGAGTGAGCTCCCGTCTCTAGCTCCAGCTCCTGCCAACCTAGCAGTTCGAAAGCAAGAAATTGCAAGTAGATAAATAGGTACCACTTCGGTGGGAAGGGAACAGCGTTCCATGCGCCTTGGTGTCTAGTCATGCCGGCCACATGACCACGGAAATGTCTTTGGACAGCGCTGGCTCTTCGGCTTGGAAACGGAGATGAGCACCGCAACCCTAGAGTCGGACTCGACTGGCTTTCGAGCAAGGGAAACCTTTACCTTTACCTATGGCCTTGGTAGGCCAGCTATAACTGAGCATGTCTCTGGCTAAACGAAGAACAATGGCACCGCAGGCCGATGCTCCCTCTAAGCGGTGGAGTCTTGTGAGCAAAAATTCTCCTTTGTGAGCTCCTGACATTAAAGTTGTGAGCGAGCCATTTGGCTGCTGCATCAATTCGTTTGCCCTGGAGCCCTCCTTCCTGAGCTAAAGCGAAAATGTGTGAGCCGGAGGCTAAAAAACTGTGAGCTAGCTCACACTAACTCAGCTTAGAGGGAACACTGCTCCAGGCTCCACCCCCCAAATCTCCAGGAATTTCCCAACCCAGAGCTGGGCACACTGCTGGTAGGGGGCCTTTGGGGAAGGTGGCAGTTCTTCACAGTGGTCTTATTTCTCAAGAGGGCAGTCAACTAGCACTAGCTTGGCCAGTGCTTATGGCCTTTGGGTTTCTGTTCCGGTGGCCAGCTCAACTCCATGGCTCCATGGTTTTCCGACCTTTGGAGCAAGCGTTGCCTTCTTCTGGCAGCCGGCCTACCGAGCCACAAAAGCCGTATGCTGGAGTGGTCCCCAGAGCCAGGCTGTCCCGTAGTCAGTCCAGGGCAGCCTGTTATCTGCTCTTCCCAGGCTGAGGCCAACAACGTCACAGCCACAAGAGGGTTTCTTTCTTTCCTGTGCCGGACTCCAAACGTTTTATGCCAAAACAATTTCCTCTGTGACTCCCGGTGATTCCCCCACTCCTCCATCCAAGGACAAACGAAACAGCTTTCCTCTCTTTGTTGCAGGTTGCTAGGATACTGGGCGTTACCAAGGAGATGCAGAGGCTCATGGGAGTGAGCTCCGGGATGGAGCTGCTCACCCTGCCCCACGGACATCAACTTCGCCTCGACTTGCTGGAAAGGTACAGTGGAAGGGCCGAATGAGAGAACCAGGAGAGGGCGAGGGTTGGCAGGCAGGCACCTCCCGCTGTGCGCCGCCGGGCAGGATCAAGATCACTCCAACGGCCTGCATTGTGTGGATTCAAAAGCAGCACAAGCATGGGATCTAGTATCAAATTTGGCATTCCAGTGATCTCGGCTTTCAGTTTTTTTTAAAAAGCAAGTTTTCGGTCCTCAGGGCCACGAGAGAGGCTCGAAAGCACAAGGGCCGTGCTTGTTCCTGCTGGCCGGCAGGCAGGGTCTCATCGCTCTGTGCCCGTTTGGTGCAGTGGTTAAGTGTGTGGACTCTAATCTGGGAGAACCGGGTTTGATTCCCCACTCCCCCACTTGCACCTGCTGATGTGACCTTGGGTCAGTCACAAGCTCTGGCACAGCTGTCCTTGGAAAAGAGCAGTTTGTGTCACTCCTCCTCCTCTTCTTCTTCTTCTTCTTCTTCTTCTTCTTCTTCTTCTTCTTTCTTCTTCCTCTTCTTCTTCTTCGCTCCAGGGCTGCATTAGGACTTTTGTGGGCCCCTCCCACCACGATAATATCAATATTAAGAATTTATTTTGGTATAACTTCAAATACTTCAACATTTTTTTTCTGTTTTAGGCAAAATTTAATAAATTTTCGTGAGCCCTAAAATTTTACTTTTTTTCTGATGTGAGGGGAAAAAACCCGAAAACATTTTCTTCAACCCTGGAAGTTCGTTCACCCCCCCCTCCTGGTTTTAAAAGAAAGTAAAACATTTTCGTGGGCCCCTAAAAGTATCGTGGGCCTCCTGTGCCTAATGGATAAGTCGGCCCTGCCAGGCTCTGTGTTTGCTGTTCCCCTTGGGGGTGAAGAAGCGGGTGCCGGCAAGCGCCCTCTCCCCATTGGGGTCTCCTGGCTGACCTTCTCACTGCCTTTGTCCCTCTCTCAGGTTCCACACCATGTCGATCATGATCGCGGTGGATATTCTGGGCTGCACGGGCAGCATGGAGGAGAGGGCCTCCCTCCTCCACAAGACCATCCAGCTGGCCGCGGAGCTGAAGGGCACCATGGGCAACATGTTCAGCTTTGCTGCCGTGATGAACGCTCTTGAGATGACACAGGTACTGAAAGAGGTGGCCAATCCCCAGTTGGGGGCAGGGGACCCCCTGGTTTGGAGGCCCTCCCCCCGCTTCAGGGTTATCAGAAAGTATGGGGGGGGAATGTCTGCTGGGCACTCCATTATACCCTATGGAGACCGGTCCCCATAGGGTATAATGTAGAATTGATCCGTGGGTATCTGGGGCTGGGGGGCTGTTTTTTGAGGTAGAGGCACCAAATTTTCAGCATAGCATCTGGTGCCTCTCCCCAGTTGGGGGCAGGGGGCCCCCTGGTTTGGAGGCCCTCCCCCCGCTTCAGGGTTATCAGAAAGTATTGGGGGGGAATGTCTGCTGGGCACTCCATTATACCCTATGGAGACCAGTCCCCATAGGGTATAATGGAGAATTGATCCTTGGGTATCTGGGGCTGGGGGGCTGTTTTTTGAGGTAGAGGCACCAAATTTTCAGCATAGCATCTGGTGCCTCTCCCCAGTTGGGGGCAGGGGACCCCCTGGTTTGGAGGCCCTCCCCCCGCTTCAGGGTTATCAGAAAGTATGGGGGGGGAATGTCTGCTGGGCACTCCATTATACCCTATGGAGACCAGTCCCCATAGGGTATAATGGAGAATTGATCCTTGGGTAACTGGGGCTGGGGGGCTGTTTTTTGAGGTAGAGGCACCAAATTTTCAGCATAGCATCTGGTGCCTCTCCCCAGTTGGGGGCAGGGGACCCCCTGGTTTGGAGGCCCTCCCCCCGCTTCAGGGTTATCAGAAAGTATGGGGGGGAATGTCTACTGGGCACTCCATTGTACCCTATGGAGACCGGTCCCCATAGGGTATAATGGAGAATTGATCCGTGGGTATCTGGGGCTGGGGGGCTGTTTTTTGAGGTAGAGGCACCAAATTTTCAGCATAGCATCTGGTGCCTCTCCCCAATCACCCCCCCCCCCCCCAGTTTCAAAAAGATTGGACCAGGGGGTCCAATTCCATGAGTCTCAAAAGAAGGTGCCCTCGTCCTCCATTATTTCCAATGGAGGGAAGGCATTTAAATGTGACAACCTGAACTCCCTTTGGAGTTCAGTCGTGCTTCTTCCCTCCTCTCTCCCGGAGGCTCCTAGAAAGTCCCCTGCTGGCTTGTCAGCCTCACCTGGCAACCCTGTATAGGGAGCCTCAGCATGCTGCCTCTCTCACCTGTTTAGATTATAGAATGCCTCCTCTCCTGTATGGTCTTTGTTGTAGACATTAGATTCCATGTCAAAAATGAAGTCAAATGAGGAGGAAGTTCTTGTATTTTATTGTAATGAAATATGGAAAACAGGCCAAAGGACCCATCAAAATTGATTGCTTTCTTTTCAGCATAATCAGGAAACATGCCTCAATCAATAGGAAAACAATTAGACCAAATAGTTAACCAGAAATTGACAACTTTCTTCTTTTTCTTCTTCATCTTCTTCTTGAGCATATTCTGAACATATTCAGGAAATACATAAAGTTAAATACTTAAAATGACATCATCATACCATCATCATGGGAATAATATTCAAAAGGCATAATTGGTTACAAAAACTTAAACAACATTTACATACAAATCTCCTTATTGGTCAAATGTAAGAAAGGTGTGCCTATGCAATAGCGTCACATATTTACTTGACATGACATAAGGCATATCGGCTAAAGCTTGTTCTTCCCCAAACAAAAGTATTCATTACTGATACGAGACTAAAATCTTATCTGACCCAGACATTGAAAGGTTTGCCCTAAGAACTACAGAATCATGAACTTTGTACCTATTATGTTGCTTGCTAGCAATATCAGACCTACAAGAGGAAAGCCTTCTATATAACAGGCCTTTCTAACATCCTAATAAAATATTACTTAAAGAATAAATCTATAAAAACCAGAGAAATATGAATATGAACAATCAAGAAGGAAAAACCTATATATGAAAATCTTTATATTCCCATTCTTACTACATCTTGGAGTGGTTTACAACAAAACATTCACCAATAATAAACATGCAATACAATGCATCTAAACATTAAAATAACACTGGCTAGTACAGTACAATTATAATAAACAATTCATGAAATGACAGTAAGTATAAATAAACAAATCCCTAAAATGTAATCCAATCAACAAACTGTGGTTTTGTGAATCCACACAGTGTAACAAACCACAGTTTAGTGCAAACAGCGTTTTAACAAGCCGGCTTACAATCCTTTGTTTGCAGTCCCATTTTGGTACTGAGCCACAACTCTGCATTGTTCGACCATCTGCATTCAGATGCCGAAACAACCTGGGACCGACCAGAGCATGGTCTGTTGTGATGTCTGAACGCATCCTGTATTGCTGGCATCCCATCTAGATGGCGGCCCAGTCTTCAGACAAGGATTTTGAAAGGAAGGCGATCCCGAAACATGCTTGTGTAGTCCCCTTCATTCTCGCCACTAGAACTGAAAGGGAATTTTTGCACAACGTTTCTTTAAGCCTTTCAAGGCCGGGAGGTGCCCGGCTCCTTTCCATCCCGTTGCCGTGAGCAGCAGGGCTCCCAGCACTAAGGTAGCTTGAGAGCAGCCCCCCCCGCTAGAACAGAACTGGTCTGCCTGGCGCCGCTCCCCCCAGCCTCACGCCTTCCCTTTCGCTCTGCTTTCAGATCTCACGCCTGGAACAGACCTGGATGGTTCTACGCCAGCGCCACACGGAGGGCGCCATCCTCTACGAGAAGAAACTGAAGCCTTTTCTGAAGAGCCTGAACGAAGGCAAAGGCAAGTGTCGGGAGGGGGCCGCCCGACCCCCTTCTCACTCGTCCCCCTTTTCAGTTTGGTGTAGTGGTTAAATGTGCGGACTCTAATCTGGGAGAACCGGGTTTGATTCCCCACTCCTCCACTTGCAGCTGCTGGATGACCTTGGGCAAGCCGTAGTTCTGACAAAAGCTGTGCTTGAAAAAGAGCCGTTTCTGTCAGAGTTCTCTCAGCCCCGCCTACCTCACAGGGTGTCTGTTGTGGGGAGGGGAAGGGGAAGGAGTTTGTCAGCCGCTCTGAGACACCTTTGGGTAGTGAAGGGCGGGGTATAAATCCAATCTCCTCCTCCTCTTCTTCTGCTTCTTCTGTTTCTGCTTCTTTGAACTGTTTGAGCTGGAATCTGACACTGATAGCCTGCCTCTTTTCCATCATGGAACCCAGAGTTGAGCACGCAGGGCTCTCAAGAGGGCCCTGAGCACATCCAACCTTGTTGAGTTTCAGCAAGCTTGCTGGCTCTTCTTCCCTCCACCACGACCGGACTTCCACTACGGGGCGTGAAATGAACGGGCTCCTCCTTCTCCCTTGAGGGGTGGGGGTAGAAGTCAAACATCTTTCTTTCATGGTGGCAAAACTGCATTTCCCTGGCGCTCAGAAGAGCAGTATATTCTTATTTGGAAAACGCAGCAACTGGCTGGGAGGGGCTGTGTGGCTCAGAGGTAGAGCCTCTGCTTGGCATTCAGACGGTCCCAAGGTTCAATCCCCAGCATCGCCAGTTCAAGGACCAGGCAGCAGGTGATGTGGAAGACCTCAGCCTGAGACCCTGGAGAGCCTCAGCCAGTCTGAGTAGGCAAGACTGACGCTGACGGACCAAGGCTCTGATCCAGTAGAAGGCAGTTTCATGTGTGTTCATGCGTGTGGCGTGATGCCCCTAAATTTCGCAAAGGATCGCAAGGAGTCGATGGTCTGTTAGAACCACGGCATGCATAGAAGCGTTTACCGTTTCTGTCACATTCCCCAGGGGGATCAGAGAACAGTTAGCATATGGAGCATAAAAATGCAGCCCACGGCTATGAACCGTGATGGGGTTGGATGATACCCCCCTCTGCTTGCTGTGAGCAGGCTAAGAGCAACTCCCCTGAGGCCTGGTATTCACTGCGGGGCAGGGCTCTTTTTGTAGAAAAAGTCCAGCAGGAACTCATTAGCATAACAGGCCACACCCAACAGCAGAAACTCATTAGCATATTAGGCCACACCCCTGACTGCGCCGCTCATTAGCACATTAGGCCGCAGTCCCATGTTGCCAGAAGTGTGGTCATCCAGCCACACCCACCTTTTGCTTCTTATTCTGTTTACCTTGTTGTCAAAACCCAGGGCCTTTTTTTGTTGCAGGAACGCCTTTGCATGTAGCCAATCCTAATGAGTTTCTGCTGTTGGGTGTGGCCTATTATGCTAATGAGTTCCTGCTGGGTGTGGCCAACTTGGGAGCCAGCCAGAACTCCGTTCCTGCCCAAAAATAGCCCTGCTGCGGGGGGTCAGTCTGTGTATCTGCTCCCCTGTGTAGAGGAAGAGATTAAGCTACACCTCCTTCTTCCTGGCGTTTTGCTTTATGTGCAGGCAGAACTCTTTTGTCTGGCAGCATCTGGTTGCGCAAACCTGCTGTCTGCAGTCCAGTCCAGACCAGAGACAGGTTTACCACCTCAGGGTAGAGGTTTCTTTGGAAGGAACAAAGGGCTCTCTGTAGCCAGCATGGTGTAATGGTTATGGTCTCAGACGGAGACATGGGAGTCCCAGGCTCAAATCCCCACTTGTGCCATGGAAGCCTGCTGGGTGACCTTGGGCCAGTCACGGACTCTCAGCCTAACCTACCTCACAGGGTTGTTGCGAGGCTAAAACTGAGGAAAGGAACATAATGTACGCTGCTCTGGGTTCCCATTTGGGTAAGTAAGTAATAGATAAATAAATAATGCTGCCAGTGCTGGTAACGGTACCAGTGGCAATTAGAGAGCAGGCCATGCAGTTTCCAGCAAAGTTCGGAAGCCCTTCCACCACTTCCATTCTGTCTTGTAGTGATAGTGTGCCATCTGGTGGCTACCTGGAGAACTGACAGGTTTGGCATGACCAAATTCGACTCAATAAAGCTGCCTTATACTGAATCAGACGTTTGGTCCATCAAGGTCAATATTGTCTACTCAGACCACCAGCAGCTCTCCCGGGTCTTAGGCTGAGGTATTTCACATCACCTCCTATCTGATCCTTTTAACTGGAGATGCTGGGGATTGAACCTGGGACCTTCTGCATGCCAAGCAGATGCTCTACCACTGAGCCACAGCCCCTCCCTGACTTCAGCTTTACAATGCTACGTGTTTATATTCTAAATATATATATATATATTCCTTTAGCTGAGTGATGTATCAGATACTCCTAACATTTTAAATCCATATAAACAAAAAAGTTAAACCATGCTGATTTGAAAAGGGAGGGGGTCAAAATAATTCTCTAACAGGCAAACAAAAACCTCCCAGGAGAGTTCAGGAGACAAACACGGAGTCCTCTTTTCAGCTGTCACCTTTTAATTACAGCCCAGTGGTTCTGTACTGAGATGGCCCGGGGCTCAGTGTGAGTTGTGGTTCTTGGATTAGGACTGGGAGGACTTCAAACTCAGCCCCACTCACTCATGAAACTCACTGTGCGAGTTTGGACAGTTGCCATTCTCTCCGACTAACCTACCTTGCAGGGGTGTCGTGGAGATCAAATGGAAGACAGCCACAAATGATATCATGCGCTCCTTAGAGGATGGGCAGGATTTTAAAAAATGAGGGAGAGAAGACTTTACTTGAAATAGAAAGAGGTGTGGTAGCAGGGGCAGGGGCCAAGAGGGGAACCCTCTCTGTTGGTGGAGGGACAGTTGTTGTTGTTGAGTCACACAGTCGAGTCCGACTCTTCGCGACCCCATGGATCATCTCCCGCCAGGCCCTCCTGTGTCCGCCGTCCTCTGAAGTTGGCTCAACTTCATGTTTGTTGCATCTATGACACTGTCTAACCATCTCATCCTTTGCCGTCCCCGTCTTCTTTGACCTTCAATCTTTCCCAGCATCAGGGTCTTCTCCAGTGAGTGCTCCCTTCTCATTGGGCAGCCAAAGTATTTGAGCTTCAGTTTCATTATCTGGCCTTCCAGGGAACAGTCAGGATTGATTTCTTTTAGGATTGACTGATTTGATCTCCTTGCAGTCCAAGGGACTCTCAAGAGTCTTCTCCAGCACCATAGTTCAAAAGAATCTATTCTTCGGCGCTCGGCCTTCCTTATAGTCCAACTCTCGCAGCCATACATGACTACTGGGAATACCATTGCTTTGACCATGCAGACTTTTGTTGGCAGGGTGATGCCTCTACTTTTTATCATGCTGTTACATGTTACAAGAGGGACAGTACGTGGGGGCATAGCCAGAAATTTTTGCCAAGTCCAGGGATGGTGTCCAGTGCAAATGTTGGCTTTTAAATTGTAGTTTGGTGAATAAAGAAAAACCGCTGAGGTTGAGGGAGTTGGGTCTTGGGAAGCCAATACCAAGAGGGTGTCAGGCTCCTTAGTCAGATCACACCACACAGGGCTTCGTAGAGAAGATAACTGTTTAATGATGAGTCCAGTACTAAAGAACACGTGTACAGCTTGTGTCAGGAATGGCCGTCAATACTAAGGCCTCTGACTTATAGTAAAATCAAACATCCCCCCTGTAAGCATGAGCCAATAGATATATCTCGCACGTGCGGACAAAGCAAAAAAGCCGTTAACTTTCCCAGCCGAGTAAACTGCAGCTGGAACATCTACAAGGTCACGCATAAGGTAGCACACAGTTGATGAACGAGCAAGAGCTGAGAAGTAGAAGGAGGGTACCCCTCCACGTTCCAGAACCATGACAGGTCTACCGGACACAGGGTTCATTTTCCCCCTCTTCTAGTTGTTTGGCAATCCTATTCCAAAACGTTATTTAATACCGGAGCATGTTCAGATTTGCCAGCATGACTGCTAGTGATTTTTTTAAAAAAATCTATCTGCAACTTGAGAGACCTGTCATCAACCAGGACAAGGCTGAATGAGATGAATCGTATAGAGGAAACTCTCCGCTCTTCTATTTCAGAAGGACCCCCCCTGTCCAACACCACCTTCCCACACATTGTGCCCCTCATCACACTCTTGGAGCGGGACACGGCCCTCCCAGACAACCCTGAGCCCTGGGAGAACTTGGACGACGGCGTGGAGGTAGTCATGGCCCACCTGGAGGCGGCACGGATGGTGGCTCATCACGGCGGACTGTACCACACAAATGCAGAGGTGAAGCTGCAAGGTAAGGAAGCCCATAGGGGCCAGTATTCATCTCAGAACATGGGCCCCAAGGTGATGCCTGTTCAGTAATGTGAGAATAATACACTACCCTGTGCCCAATTCCTCCATAGCTAGGAAGCAGCAGAAGAAGATGAGACCGTTCTTAACGTGATTCTCAAACTTTGCAAGTCTGAGAGGTGGGGTGTTTATCTTCAAAGAGCACAGGAGCTTTTTCTGTGTGAATTTTTTTTATTAGTTTATATACAGAAAGGAGAAAGAAACAAAAAAGAGCATAGGGGCTTTTGAGAGTACAAGACAACAGGTCCTTGCCCCAAAGAAGAAAAAATGTATATCCTTTCCTCTCCCTGAATAGATCACTGCAGGTACCAACATGCTTAAAAAGCAGGGTGCCCCAAACACACTACATTTGGATGCAAATTATTAAGTGAAGAAGTGCCAGTGGGCCTGCAAAAAATCTCTGGAAGGGACAGATAAGGCCCAAGCCAATGAAAGGAGAAGAAAACTGCCTGTTGAAGGGACTATGTAGAAGGAACTTGGCCTGGTGGCCTTAAGAGAGATGCCTGGCTTTTAGGATTATCAAACCAACAGTAATAGTGAACAGCTCAGATTGTAAGCAAGATACCCTGCAGTCATATTATAAAAAGTGCATGGCTACCTTCACACCAGGTGTGTTTTGCTCAGTTGAGACCCAGTTTGGTGTAGTGGTTAAGTGCACGGACTCTAATCTGGGAGAACCGGGTTTGATTCCCCACTCCTCCACTTGCACCTGGCTGGATGACCTGGGGCAAGCCATAGTTCTGTCAGAGGTGTTCTTGAAAAAGAGCCATTTCTGTCAAGAGCTCTCTCAGCCCCACCTCCCTCACAGGGTGTCCGTTGTGGGGAGGGGAAGGGAAAGGAGGTTGTAAGCTGCTCTGAGACTCCCTTGCGTAGTGAAGGGCAGGGTATGAATCCAATCTCCTCCTCCTCCTCCTCCTCCTCCTCTTCTTCCTCGTCCTCTTCTTCTTCATTTCAGACCATGCAAGGTCTTGGGTATTCGTGGGTTCTCTTACCTCTCTTCACATCCTTAATTGCTTCCAATCCACCAGTGCACACTTTTAATGGGGCTGCCCGGCTGGCTTCGTTTGCTCACTTATCTCCTTCATTTATCACCCGCCTTTCTTAGTGAGACTCAAGGCAGGTTAGGTACGTTTGTGCTGTCAAGTCGCAGCTGGCTTCTGACGACCCCAGCAATGGGCTCTCCAGCAGAGTGGTTTGCCGTTGCTTTCCTCTGCAGAACCTTCCTTAGTAGCCTCCCAGCCAAGCACTGATCCTGTGCGGCTTCCAAGATCTGATGAGATCGGGCTGCGCCATGCCCTTCCACGCCCCCAAGACAGGTTCCGGAATAACAAAACAATGCCATAAGACCAGTATGATACACACAGTAAACAATACAACTGGATTACGTCGTCAGAAAAAGGATGAAAGAAAAGCAGTATAATAATCCAATAAAGCAATGAGATATCAGAGGGGAGGGGGGGAGTCAACAACAGTTCTGCTAGGCGGCGCATTTTTAAAGTGACGTTTTCATGCTGAGAAATCAAAGCGGCAGGTGGCTGCCGAGGGTTTTTACTGCCTACAGATTTTCACAGACAATTAAACTTGGTCTCGTTCAGCTAAGCAAACGCATGTGCCCTTTTCCCTCTGGAATAAGCCACTCAGGGACCCCACACTACTTGATCCCATAAACAGAGTAACTCCTATGGCCTATTTTTACTATCTGTCAAACTATGAATATAGGAGAACGTTTACACTTATGCGCTGGGATGCTCTTCCGCTAGCAAATACAGAGGGAAAGTACAAGAAAATCCCATTTGAGGAACGCATATGCCCCTGCTGTAACGTAGGCATTGAAAATCTAGAACATGTTATATTCGACTGTGAGGCCTATGATAATCTCCAGAAATCCATCCCCCAAGTTCTTACCTCTCAACAGCAGGCAAAGAGCTCGTATTATGAAAAATCTCCTTGTGGATAGGCACTCAGAGGTAACACACCAAGTGGCTAGATTTGAATGGAGTGCTTTACGAATTAGAAAACCTATAATAACGCAGCAAGTTAAATGTTAACCATTTTATTGTTAACTGTCTACCTCCTAAGGAATGTATAATGTATTTTGTAATGTAGTTTACTGTTCTGTTAAGCCTTTTTACCTTTATTCATAGGTGTTTTTACCAGGGGTCGTTTCGTGGAAAAAGAGCTAGGGGAACTCATTAGCATAACTCATTAGCATATGCCACACCCCCTGACATCACCGAAAGTGTGTCATAAGGCCACACCCCCTGACATCACTGGACGTGTGTCATAAGGCCACACACCCCGCCCCCAATGGTCCCGGCAGCCACCGGCGGCCTTGCAGCTCCACTGCCGAGCCCCATGAGGGGCCTGGCGGTGGACCTGCAAGGCCGGCGGGAGTGCGAGGAAGCCCCGCGAAGGCCCTCCCTGGCCCCAGGCAGGCATGGCCCCCCCCCCCGTCCCTCCCCCGGGGGAACTGCGATCCCCCCCCCCGATCCCCCCTGAAATGACCTCTGGTTTTTACTACTAAGTTTGTAGCGTTTCAAACGTCAATTGCTGGCTTTGGCCGTAAATAAAACTGAAAAAGAAAACCCATTCAGGGACCAAAGCTAGTTCTTTCTGGGTTCCCACTGCAGGTTTCCAACCGAGGCCAGAACTGCTCGAGGTCTTCAGCACGGAGTTCCAGCTGCGTCTCCTGTGGGGCAGCCGAGGGGCCGAGAGCAGCCAGAGCGAGCGCTACGAGAAGTTCAACAAGGTCCTCACCGCGCTGTCCCACAAACTGGAGCCGGCGGTGCGCTCCAGCGAATTGTAGCCCGGCCGCACGGACTCTGCGCCAGACTAGCAAAGAAAGATGCCGCCCGACCAGCAGCCTGCAGCTTCCTCTCTCCATAGCCTGGGGAGGGGGTTGACTCAGGTCGACACGGGGAGAGCCCCCCCTGGTTGGAATATGGAATCCGCATCTGCGAAGACGGCAAGGGATCAAGTGGACCTGCCAAGGAGTCCGCCGTCATGCAGCAGTTACTGACAATCAGCATCCAGAAGGCGGAAGAAGCGGTTTCTTGCTCGGAAAAGCTGGCAACCCGTGCGTCTCCTCCTCGCTGTCGCCACCACCTTTGCAAAGAAGCATGACATCAGGCAGACTGTACGCCGCTGCTCTTGGGTGATCTGCCTTCCTGAACATGACCTGCTCCAAAAGACCCCCCAGATCTGTGGCAATGTAAAAACCTGGTATGGATTCATACCTTGGCCATGGCTGACTTTGGGGTCTCACAGGTCCGCTTTAGACCAGAATGTAAAGGTCATCTTCTTCCTCATTCCTTTGCTGTTAGGCGTCATCCGGGGGGGGGGGGGGTTACCGGTGTCCACAACTTTCTTAGGCCGCAATATTACTTAGGAATAAGTCCCCACTGACCATCAGTGGGACTTCCTTCCATGTGAATGTCGATAAAGCGGCTTCTTGTGTGTGTCTCTCATCACATTTCACGGGGCAAGGAGGCCGCGGGCTCCCTCCCTCGTCCAAGGAGCTGAGCTCAGCAATTCTTCTGTGCCAAAGACTTGGGATTTGACTGGGGCAACCCCCCCCCCCACATTCTTACGCAGAGGCAACTACTGATCTATACCCATCCCCAGGACCAGTTCCAGGGTCTGGGGCCCCCAGGGCAGAGCGTTCCCAGGGGCCCCATTCCACCCACTCAGCCATGTGTCTCCATACCTGTCTGCGCCTCCCTCCTTGCCCTGCTCACAGCTATCTGCACTGCCCACGGCCCTTTCCCTGAGGGCACTGACTGGGCAGTGTGTGCAGCTGGACACATGGGTGGCAAGACACTCACAAGTGAGCAGGCAGGGAAAGGGCATGTTGTAGGGATCAGTCTAGAAATGTAAAATTTCCAGAAATGTTGAAGCTCGGGAAAAAACGAAAATTTTCGGAAAAATTGAAAAAAAATGCTACATTAGCACTTCTTTTTTCTTTTCCAGATTGAAAGTCATTCTGTTACTTTAGGAACATAAAATATGACTATGGACATTTGTACTTGGCATGAAATTATATTAAAAATATAGTGTATCCAAACAATTATTACAAACAGAATAGCCACCCACATGCAAAAACAAAACTGAAACCTTTTCCTTTTCTCGTGACAATCGCACCTCCTAAAGGAAGAAATGCATCTTGTTCTTGCACTGGAGAGTTCAGTTTGTAACCTAGGACTTGCTTGTCCTCAGTGCACAGAGATTAGATCAATCTGATACCATACACGTTTTTTTTAGAAATGATTTGGAAAACATTTGAACACCTTGTCTTAAAATATTTTATTCATCAAAATAAAATGTTCCATAATCAATTTTGTTCTTTTCTTTTTTCAATTTTTCGGAAAAAAACAAAAAAGGCTTTAGGGGAAAAAACGGGGGGGGGGGACGGTTTCCCCCCGAATTTTTCCAGTTTTTTCCTGGGCCTTCACATCTCTAGGTCAGTCATGGTGGGTCCTGGCAGCTGCCCCACCTGAGGAGGGTACACTGATGCCGGCCCTGCCCATCCCGTTTCCTTGAAAACAAGCAAGATGATGTCATTGCATGCAGCGTTTCCCTGATCGTAGGAATGGCATCCAATGAACGGAGAGGAAGGAAACCACAATGTCCACTCATGTGTTTCTGAACGCTGCTAGGAGTATGCAGCAGTGAGGGAGGCGCGGGTCTGAGTGTCTGTTGCTGACCCTCATGTAGGTGTAGCCCTTACTCCCCCCTGTCTCTCCTCAGAAGGCTGGACTCGGCCAGGGGCCCCATCTCCAGTCCACCCTTGCCATCCTAAAGTTGCCCTCTGCCCCTGCTTCCGTTCCTTTTCACCCTGCCACTGGATTTCACGGAGCGTCGGTCTCTGGCCTTTTCAGTCTGCCTTTCATTTTGCGAGGCCTTTTCTGCTTGTAAACAGAAGACCCACATTGGTGTGTAAATATCTCTCTATATATATCTATAAATATTCAAAAGGGACAATTGTTGTAAATAATTACTTGCCTCGTTTTTCCCCGTGTTGTAAATTAATGTACATATACCATGGAGTGTCTTCCTTTCGGTTCTTGCGTACAATAAACTTTTATGCTTTTTTCTTCAAGAAAGGCTCGTCTGCTGACCTTCCCCCCCCAAAAAAAAGTAACCCCTGCTCTTTAAGAACAGCAGCACTGTTTCTGTATTTGCTTTTGTCTGATCTTTTTGATTGAGCTTAAGATGGAAAGTGCTAAACCGTTCCCATACAAAGCGCATCTTTAGAACGTCAACAGTGGCCCTAGCTTGGGCCTACAGAGGAATCACAATACGTTCAGATGTTTAAATGGAGAAATGGACTTCCAGTATACACAATCTGTTGGATCTAACCATGATTTGCTCTCAGGGAACCGGTCTTCACGCATACATCTCCTTTGCACACCCCATTACTTGTCCTGGTTTTCAGTATTTTGTCCCGTTGATTGTTGATATCCTGTGTTTTCCGTGCCAGTACGCTTTTACAGTTCGTTTGTTTTTCTTAGTAAGTTCACTAACGTCTCTCTCCATCCCGTGGAGCGTGAACAGACCCAGTTTTCTTTCACTGCTGCTGTAGTGATTGCCTATTAATTCACCCTTCCCACTCCCCTCTGTGCTCTTCCCAGAAGTGCCACTTGTCCGTGCGCAACAAATACGTTTCCTTTAGTCCGTAACATATTTGTCATTCGTTCCTGAAAGGAAACAAGCGTGAGCAGGAGGTGACTGGGCAGTGCAAGGGACTGCAAACCATCGCGATGCAGTCAGGGTGTTCAGTAGTCAAGATGGTTGGGACCTTGGCAGAGCAAAGTACTGGAGGTGTGCATATGGGCAGTTCTGCATCTAGCATTTGCTCCACATGTTCTCAACTGGGAGGAAAAAGTGCAGCTCAAAACCACATTCAGATACTTCAGGGCACCGCTGACGACAAAGTCACCCCTGAATGGCCATAAAACAGCCGTAAATCTATGCAGAAGGTACCATAAAAATCCGAGGATCAAAGAAAGTGAAAGTGGCACGGAGGGTGGAGGCTACCATAAAGTCCGATGACCAAAGGAAGTGAAACCAGCATGCAATGAAGAGGGGACTTTCTGTTCCAAGGTGGGTTTCCTAAAACAATGAAGGGAAAAGCCAATGCAGAATCAGCCTATGTGTCACAGAATGAATACCGTTTGTCCGTGCACTCCTTCATTCAAATAAACAGGAATGGGATGGGGAAGGAGAAGCACCTGCAAGACACCGCTGTAATTCTCACTGCTTAACAAGACAAGTGGTTTCTTAGACACCAGCCTTTTCCGTTGCTGTGATGCTAACGACCAAATAATTTATTTTATTTATTTATTCAATTTGATATACCGCCCTAACCCCCGTAGAGGTCTTTGGGCGGTTTACAAGAGGGGTGCTAATCACAATTTAACCCTAACTAAGGCCACATTATTACGGGGAGTGGGACAGCCTACCGGCACCCAGGTGGGGGTAGATGTCTTTTTCCGGTCTGGCTGGCTTCATGCCCGGCGGTATATGGCTGTTGTTCTTCTGGCGCATTTTGCGATCCGGCGCGCAGTCAGCGTCCTCCTCAGGTCCCGACTACGTCCCACCGGCTCCGCCGCGCCCCTGGATGATGTCACTGCGCGCCTCCTGCTGCACGACAGCCGCTCGCTGTTCCCGCCACTGGTCACCAGGGAT